CAGAGACAAAATTCTTGCTAAACAACTGCGTCTCAGGCGCATTACCTGATCTACTCCTTATTCCCTCTGTGAAAGCTGTGAGGCGATAGATAGTAGTGAAAGAAAAAGAGGCGATGAAACAGTAGATTGTGTCTGTTGGGATAGCAGTGGGATCTACTAACTGTCCTGTTTCTCTGCGTGCAGCTCTTCTTAAAAGCTCCAACTATAATGAGCAAATTAAAAAAGGACATTTACATCATTCTGGTGCAGCCATTTTCACAGAAAGATGATTCTGAATAAACCGCACAGTGAAATTTGAATTGGTTGATCTGCTGTTTAAAAGCATGACAAACTTTCTTAGCTGTTGGATAGCTAGTTTCCTTGCTGCACCATTTTATTATCCTTGTTTTAATGCTCTGCACCATTTTATATAGACTCTATATCATGTCTGAAAATGATCTCTAACTTCAGAAGTCTAGGTGTCTGATCTATGGTTACTGGCTCCATATACTTGTTCACTATTTATTGTTACATTGTTTGTTATTTCTCAATATTCATCTTTTATCTCACCCCAACTAAGGCCCCTGTCACACAGGCATGAAGCCTGGCAACCTCCAGTTGCTAGTGAGATAAGAGTCATCTTATTTTCTCTTATCTTAAAGATGTGCATTCCGCTGTGTCATTAGGAGATTGTCACCTGTAGTTTGCATGAAATATTTAGAGTCAGATTCAGAAAATATAATTTATTGTCTCCTTAGCTAGAACTGTATCTTGAACAAACAGCTGAAATGCATCATATAAGATAACACACATTCAGAAACTCTATCCTTCCATCTTCATCCACTTATTCGGTGTCTGGTTGCAGAGGCAGCATCCTAAGCAGAGAAGCCCAGACCTCCCTCTCCCTGGCCACCTCCAGCTTGTCCGGGGGGAACACTAAAGCATTCCCAGACCATCCAAAAACTATAGTCTCTTCAGCATGTCCTGGGTCTGCCCCAGGGCCTCCTCCTGGTGGGACATGTCCTGAACACCTTACCCAGAAGGCACCCTTGTCAGATGCCTGTACAACCTCAACTGGCTCCTTTCGATGTGGAGCAGGGGCTCTACTCTGAGCCGCTCCTGGATGGCCGAACTCCCACCCTATCACACTATCTCTAAGGCAGATGCCAGCCACCCTTCGGAGGTAGCCCACTTCTGCCGGTTGTATGCACAATGTCGTTCTTTCAGTCACCACACACAGCTTATGACCATAGATGAGGATAGGGATTGGTCCAGTTAACCAGTCGATGTTGATTGACTGGTGAATTGAGAGCTTCGCTTTTACAATCAGCTCTCTCTTCACCATGATGGACAGGTACAGCGCTCGGATCACTGCAGCCGAAGCACCAATCCAATCAATCTGTCGATCTCGTGCTCCCTTCTCCTGCTACTCATGAACAAAACACCAAGATACCTAAACTCCTCCACTTGGGGCAGGAACTCATCCCTGACCCAGATCTACTCCTTATTCCCTCTGTGAAAGGGCAGGGCATGCCACCCTTTCGCGGCAGAGGACCATGGCCTCTGATTTGGAGATGCTGATTCTCATTCCCACTACTTGACACTCGGCTGAGAACTGTTCCAGTGCAAGCAGGAGGCCATCACCTGACGAAGCCATCACAACCACAACATCTGTGAAAAGCAGAGAAGAGTTTCTGAGACACCCCATACGTCCAAAGAACCTTCCACAGGACACTCCAAGGGACAAATGCCTTCTTCAAGTCCACAAAACACATATAGACTGGTTAGGCAAACTATCATGCACCCTCAAGTATCCTCGAGAGGATAAAAAGCTAGTCCAGTTTTCCACGACCTGGACAAAATTGTTCTCAGGGTGAACCTCACCCACTCCAGGGGCCCTGTGACCAAGGTGTTGTTTAACTGCAACCTCACCTCCGAGTCGTCAAAAGACAAGTCATCCCCAGACTCTGCTTCCATCACGGAAGACGTGCTAGTGGGATTAAACAGGTCATCAAAGTATTCCTTCCACGGCCTAGCAATGTTCTCAGTCGAAATCAGCAGCACTTCACCCGCACTATACAGCGTGCAGGTAGAGCACCGCTTTCCTCTCCTGAGTCACCTGACGATTTGCCAGAATCTTTTCGAGGCAGTCTCGAAGTCTTTTCGGCCTCTCCAAACTCCTCCCACCCCCAGGTTTTTGCTTCAGCCACTGCCTGAGCCATGTCCCCTTGGCCTGTCAGTACCTCTGCAGTCCCACAGGCTAACCAAGGCTAATAGGTCTCCTTCTTCAGCCTGGTGGTGTCACGGGTCTGGGTCCGTTGGACCCAGTATGTGGGGTTTCATGTTTTTGTTATTCCATGTTTGAGGTTATTATGTTTTGGTTTTGGTTTGCATCAGGGATTGTTTTCTTGTTCTCTTGTTGTGTTTATGATGATGGTTATGATGTTTATTATTTGAGGTTCATGTTTAAGGATTTGTTCTCGGTTGTATCTCACGTTTAGTTTAGTTCAGGTTCCATGTGTCATTCTGTCTGTCTCTCAGTGTCAGGTCTGCGTCTTGGTGTGGTGTTCTCATTTCCTGTTCTATTGTGAAGGTCTGGGTCTCATGTAAGTGTGTTCGGTTTTACCTTTGTCTCATCTTGTTGATTATTCCCAGCTGTGTCCACCACCTGTGTGTAATTCCCCTGTGATTCTGTGTATTTAAGTCATGTCTTCCGTCATTGTAGTTGCTGGTCCGTCTGTGTATTCCACCCTGCGTCATCTGTGTATCTACCATGTCACATCCGTGTGCTCTCCCTGCTGTCCATCGTCATTCTCCTCTGCTCGTTCTCATTCAGGTTTGTGCTTTGTAGTTTAGTTGTCCTCCAGTCTAGTTTAGTTCGAGCTCCGTTTGCTGTTTGTCCCTATTTATTTCATGTTCAATAAACCACCTTCACTTCTCCACTACTGCCTGCGATTGGATCCTCATTTATTATTTTCACACGGCTCTCCTCACCCGCCGTGACAGGTGGCTCCCTTCGCCACTGGTGTCCACCATGACAGGCATCACCCACCTTGCGGCTGCAGCTCAGTGCAACAGCTTCAGCAATGGAGTTGCTGAACATTGTCCATTCAGACTCAATGTCCCCAGTCTCCCTTGGAATGCAATTGAAGCTCTGCCGGAGGTATGAGTTGAAGATCTCGTGGACTTGGGCCTCTGCCAGGTTTTACCACCACACCCTCACTACACATTTAGGTGTGCCGGATCTGTCCAGCATTCTCAGCCGCCACCTGATTCAACTAACCACCAGGTGGTGATCAGTTGACAGCTCAGCCTCTCTGTTCACCAGCGTGTCCAGAACATATAGCCACAGTTCTAGCGATACGACTATAAAATCGATCATCAACCTGTGCCCTCGGGTGTCCTGGTGTCAAGTGCACTTTTGGACACCTTTATTTTCAAACATGGTGTTCATTATGAACAAACTGTGGTCCAGTAACAAAACACCACTTGGGTTCAGATCCGGGAGGCTGGTCCTCCCAGTAACTCCCCTCCAAGTCTGACTGTCATTGCCCACATGAGGGTTGAAGTCTCCAAGTCTCCCCAGGTGGAGCGTCATTGACTCTTTGCTCAATGATATATTGCAGGGTTTATCCCTATCACACTGTGGAATTGTGACTCTATTCACATAAAAATAACATTATTAATAATAAAAACAAAAAATCTTTAAAGAAGGGCTTTAAATGTTATATGTATGTTTGTCAGTAAAAATATGTTTGACTTATATTTGTCTTTCTTTACTTCATTATGATTATAAAATATATATGTGCATATACCTGAATGTTAATCTTTCATTATAGCTAATCTAATCTAAAATATAACTGAAGCAAAATGATGTAATCAAAAATATATGTATATGTAATATACATATAGGTGGATTTATACTATGCCTTTTGGTGGTGCACCTGTACATCCCTGCCAGGCTCTCAGCTTTCAGCCTATCACCATACTGCTTCATTAAATGTAGAAACATTCATCTGTGAATTTTATGTAGTTTGGGATCACAGCGATACATACCATTGTAAAAGAACAGCAAATGCAACCATTTTCAGCTCTTTGTAACTCACCTTGGGGAGTCTACATGGACCTCCAGACCAGGTGTGCAATGAAATCCCTTAGCATTTTCTTATAATATGACTTTTTTTTTCATCTGCCATCATCATGGGCAAATGGTTTGCACATGGCCCAAAAGATTAGATTGTCACACCCTTATAGACTATATGATTTCCGTGACATTTGACAGCTGTTTGATTTAAGAGTCCACTGAGAACCCTTTTAGCAAAGGTCTGAGGTACAGCTTCACAAGGCATGCCAGGCAACTGCTTGCAGTCCCAGGCAAGTAGGGGGCCTCTGAAGACTGGCAAACTTTAAACAACAACATTAACAATGTACAAAACCTGAAACGATAGTAGGAGAGAACAGACTTCTCTAATGGGATCCCACTGGACCCCACTCTGATGCTGCGTAACAAACCCAACACTTGAATAATCCCACTGCGCAAAGTGACGTCGGAGTGACATATTTTATAAGTCATTTTTGGATGTACAATTTCGGTTCACTGAAGGGGTTGTTTTGTAATGCCCGGCAACAACTTTTTTCCTAATTATATTGAACTTCTAGTATTGACCTCCGTGCATGGACTCCGTGCAATGTCAAACTTACACACTAACTAGACGTCGTTTTTATAATGCTTCTACATGTACTTAACTTATAATATGGGAAATAGCACTTAAAATCTTCAATATTTTTTAAAATACTGTGGGAAATACACTTACAAATAATTCTAAACCGTTTGCCCAGTAAATTATAATCAGCTAAAAGTGTTAGAAAACATGAAAGTAACAACACTAACAATTTAACAACTTTTTATTAAACACAATGTGCTTTTAAAAAGGCACAAACAACAGAGCTCACTCATAAAAAAGTGATTCATAAATAAAATGAGAAAAAGACTCCAAAGGTCTCCATCTTGATTCTAAAATTCAATAACATTTTCAGTATTAACAGCAATTGCAGCTATTAGAACATTGAGGCATTTAACACTTACTGTACCTTGACAGCTGCAGCTCACTTTCTTTTTTAAAAATACATAAAAAAAACAGTACTGGTTTCCACTGCTGTACTTATAGGGAACAAACATCAAGGCAGTGCATTTACGTATTAGGCAACAGAACATTAAACATGAATAGTGAACTGAACAGTCATTCATCTTAAATGTGAGGTAGAAGAGGCAAATGATTAGGAAAAAAACAAACAAAAAAGCTTCCTCAATACTCAGCTCAACAAGTAGTCCATTCTGAGTGATTCACTCATTGAACAAATCATTCTTCAGCATCAGTAGACGCCCTTTCAGTGGTTTGTTGTCCTCAAGGCACATCACAACCTTCTGGATAAATGTGAATGTAAGCTCAAGTTTCTTTGGGTATTGTAGGTCTAGTGCATAGATGTACCCAAAGAGCAGGAGAAATGACTCAGCCAGATTTGTGGGACCATTCACAAGTATTTCATCCTCAACGACAATGCAGATGCTTTCGGGACTGAAGAGGGCCGAATCAGTAGTGTCATCCGTGACAACTGTCAGCAGAGCCACAGGAGTGTCAGTGAGGTCTGGACCATCTGCTGACTGCAAAACAAAAATAATACAAGAATGAGTTTAGCCCCACAAGGACACAAATCATGCTATTGATTAGAGGTGTGAATCTTCATAAGTCACACGTTTCTTTTAGGATTATAATGTCAACGATTTAATTTGATATTGCGATACATCATGATGCATTACAATAATCTTAATTTGGGTTTGGTTTCAAAACATATGTTTAAATAAATGTTTTCAATAATAAATATATGCCAAGATATTTGTTTTTGTTATTTACCAAACATTTCTCTGACCACAACATGGCACCTCCAAAAAAATAGAACACTTGAATTTTAAAAGGGAGATAGTTTTTATCTGCAGATTTTTTTTGTATAATAATCTTTCAACTATTTTCATGTTTTCTGGTTTATGCGTAACAATCTTCTTGCAATCTTATTCAACAATAGTTGATATATGGGAGAAAACAAGTCAGATGAGGACTGTGTTGAACATCCTTCCTGATATACACCCTGGTTCTCCTTGAGTTCTGAGCGATGTCATATGGTTGATGCTGAGGCCAGTACACTTACATCACAAGTCCTGAATAACGTGGAGGCATCTTCACGCAGGTACACAGGAAGTGCACGAAGGACGAGGGCCCGTCTTGTATTTACATCATGCTGTTCCTAGATGAACATACAATATCTATTAGAATAGTATTTACACAAATGCAGAGTAAAAGTGTTGGATAGCCATGTTCTGATTGTCATTGTTATAGATCAGGGGTGTCCAAACTTTTTGTGTAACGGGCTAAACCTGTCAATCTAGAAGGGTAACCCAAAAAAAAAAATCTAAAAATTTTGAATAATTTAAGGCAAAATTCTCTAGTTTCTTTGTATTTATTTTTTATTTAAATTGGGACACAAATTATAAAACTCACCCACTGACAACTGGTGAAATGTTGACTCTCTGTAGTGCTCTTTGCAGTCTGATATCTGTAAACAATGTGTGCACAAAGACGACTTATTAATGTTCAAAAACATTTTTTGCACAGCACACACACAAGTAGTCAGCTGATCTCATCTGATGCAGATCTGCTCCTTGATCAAGTGACATTTGTCCGGATTTTTGGCACGAGTGACGTCAAATCAGCACCGCAGCAGGATGGCCCGATTTACTCACCACAATAATTTACTAAGATTATATGCACTCCTGTTATTAAGTCCAGTTCAGCCTGTTAATGTTAACCGTTTCAAACTAATGTTGATAGGTGTGTTGCTAAGCTTAATAACTTAAATAACAAACTTGAAATTTACCCGTCCTATTTTCCCCTTTATTGTTTTTTCTCTGTGCTGTAAATCTTCTGTCTAAGAAGAAATCTGAGGCTGCTGTTCTGAAAATAAGCTACCAAAGCTTTTTCTGAATGAATCAATAAAGATCCATTTATGGAAAGCTGTGATGAAAGCAGTTTTGTCTTTAATTATATTCAACAATATAACATATTCGACCACTTTTAAGTGATTTTGTGATCTTTAATACACTTTAATACACTAAAGTTAAGGTTATTTACCTAATTTCTAGTAAGTAGCCCTCAGTGAAAAAAGTTTGGACACCCCAGCCTTACAGGTTAGGGAGTATTTGTAATCCGCACAGTCTGCATCAATGATTCTTTCTTAGCCTGGGAGCAGAACGCGGCTCTTTATTTTCATTTCATTTCAATTTATCTAGCAAAGATCGAGGGTCTGGCTTAAAGGTGTCAAGGAGGCGCCTCAATCTGGCTGGTTGAGCCTTGTCGAATTAGTGCGAACAATTTAGCTGAACTTCGTTCGTAGCATAGTTTGCTCAACTACAAAACGACATTTGAGTGTTATGAGCTTATTAGTTATGAGCTAGAACAACTGTTAGGGATTACAGTGTACAAGCAAATAAGTTGATTAATTAAAATAAACAAAGTGGTTAAAGAAAAACAGGAAAATATAAAATAACAAAAAATAAAAATAAATGAATAAAAACCCACATGTAATGAATAAATCAATAGGCTATCAAATTGTGGACAAAGTTTGGGTGTCATATAGATGTCCAGAATTGGTCATGGACCAACAGACTCAATGTAGACATGACCAACACCTAGTTGACGCCCAAAGTTTAGTGGGATGTAACCTCCACTAACATCATCTTTCTTTCTTTGTTTATTTTGACATTAAAGGTTAGTTAACTTACCTTGCAGTGCTAAATGAGAAAAAGCAGAGAATCCCCAAACCCAAAAGTTATGTGCTTGGAATGGAAGGATATAGGTGTGTGTGTGTGTGTGTGTGTGTGTGTGTGCGCGCCTTCCTTTTATGGTTGCGAGTACACTTGAAATCAGTAATGGGCCTGCTCAGTTTGACTTACTGTACCTGATTAGACCTCTGCTTAGGTTGGAGGTGAATTGTGTTATGCAGGGGATAATGTTAGCTCGCCAAATGGCAAGAATCAAAAATGATGTTGTAAAAGTTAATTGCTCTGATGTGTCAGTGTAAGACAGGAAGAGTAGGGTGTCACTCAAATTCAAATTCAAATTCAAATTTTTATTTGTCACGTACACAGTCATACACAGTACGATATGCAGTGAAATGCTTGGACAACTGCTCGTGACCTAAAGAAAAAAAAAAGGAAAAGGCTATGAATAAGATAGGAAATAAATATGAAAAATTAAAAAGGGTAAATTTAACTAGGAAGGAATAAAATATAAATTAAGGTTAAAAATGAAATAACTGTACAACACAAATTAGAATGAAGGGTAAATTTAACTGGGAAAGAATAAGATAAAATATATAAATTAAAGTTGAAAATAAAATAACTGTACAACAAAATACACAATACACAGTATAGAACTATATAAGAATGTATGAAGAAATATAAATAAATAAATATATATATATACACACAATAACAGCAGCTGTACAAGTATTAACTGGAAATGAAGAATATAGTGACCAGTGTTGTGCAATCCACAGCCTGCATCCTCACCCTCAATTTTGAAAAGTGCTGAAATCAGCTCTGTGGAAACATCTTTGTGAATTGAGCATAGTGGTGTAGCTTCTTCAAGGTAAAACAATAGCAGGAAAAAAATAAAAGAGATGAATGTATATGCAAGGGTTCAGTGGTATTTCAACAAATACTAGTGACTATAGATTAGAATTCTTGGATTAAAAAAACATTTCCTGCTGATATTTTGTTTGAATGGAGTGTCTAAAATCAGAAGGAAGGTGTTTATTTCAAATGGGACGGCACAGAAGAAAAAGAACAAAAAAACAAAACAAAACACTGGGGACATTTCTAAACTGTAACCCTAAACAAAAATAGATTTAATTACTCTGCTTGTTAAATCATCTCTTTGAAAGGTAGAGTTGTCCCTGACCTCAGTGTCTTCGCAGTTTTTATTTGGTCAGAATAAAATAACCAGTGTCGGGGAAACTACTTTGAAAGAATAGTTTTGAAGTACCAGTTTATTCACACTGGAAGAAGATTTAATGGTAAATGGACTGGTTCTTATATAGCGCTTTTCTACTCTGTCTGAGCACTCAAAGCGCTTTATACAATAATTCATTCACCCAATCACACCCATTCACACAAGCACTTCTAAGCTTAAGTGCTAAGTATCTAACATTCATACACATTCACAAGCAACACGGGGTTAGTACCTTGCCCAAGGATATTTTGGCATGCATAAATATAAATATAAACATTCATTGCTTAAAGTGCCCAAATATAACAAACAACACCAAGAAAAATACAATTTAGTTCAATTTTATTTTATTTATAAAGCACCAAATCATAACAACAGTTGCCTCAAGATGCTTTATACTGTGAGCTAAAGACCCTACAATAATACAGAAAAAACAGAAGAAAACCCCAACAATCAGATGAACCTCTATCAGCAAATGTTTTGATGTTTTCACAACAGTTGGAAGGAAAACCAGAAAGAACCAGGCTCAGAGATGGATGGCTCACCTGAGCAATGACACATACGGTTGTATGCGGTGCTGAATGGCTAATGGAAACAGAAAAAAAGGGGTGACAGCTGTCATAGAGGGGTACAACTAAAGAATAGAAGCAATGAAAAAACAGCAATTAACATGACAAAATAACTAAAAACTTGCCATACAGCTCATCGACAACTTTTATGTTTTCATGTGGTAGTGACCCATCCTTGTTAAACTGCATAATAATACTGGAGTTGTTGCATTTCATGAAATGTTGTAATATGGGAGGGGGGGGCACATTGCATTGTACACAACTTCAGTGTGGCTAATGAGGCCAAGATGCTGTTTCACACATGCTTGCTAAGACACACAGCGGAACATACAGGGCTCTTGATGTCACTTACATAAATCACATTTCTCCAGGTCTGGATTTAAGACTTGAGCAGATTCTAAAATCCATTTTGATTTCCAAGGTGGCATGAGGTAATAAATCATTAAGCATACTCCCTTATGCAACCTTTTAAAGAGCAGAGAACACCAGCTCGTAAATCTCCCATGACTTTGCCTCCTCCCCGAAGTCTTGGGGGGAAAAAACAAAACCTTACACATTTTCTAGCACATTTCACTCTGGCATTTTTAGCCTTTTGATGTCTGAGGAACACTTGTGTTATAGGACAATTCAAACAAGACCACAAACCATGGAACAGCTTTTACTGTCAGTGCCCTTTGATTCTGCTCATCTGACTCATATCGTATAACACTGCATACAGTAAGCCTTTGAAGGTTTGAAAAGGGAGCTGCTGCACCCCTCTAAGCACACAGCAATACAAAATGTAAGACTGATTTGATGAGCAGAGAGAAAATAGCTGTTTTCAACAGTCACTGCAGTGAGCTGAGACATGCTGCTGAAATAGAAGTATTTCAATTTAAGGAAACTATTTGTCACACACCATACCAAAAATAAGAAATATGCCTTTACATTAACAGAAATTCATGCCCAGGCTCAACTTAACATAAAGCCAACAAAGACTACAATAAAAACTTTAGCCTAAACTACATTAAGCATGACAGCACCCTGTTTTGTATTAATTGTTCTGGTAGTGCTGCTGGTAGTGTTGTAATATTATTGGGGCTATTTTCTTAGATGTTGGGGCATTAGACTAACTGAGCACCGTTTAAAAGCCACTGCTGACTAAAGTATTGTTGCTGACCAAGTCCATCCCTTCATAACCACAGTATATCCATCTTTTCAAGACTGCTTCCAACAAGACAACACACCATGTCGCAAAGCTTAAATCATTTCAAACTATTTTACTGAACATGACAGGGAGTTTACTGTTCTCTGGCCTCCACAGTTACCAGATCCCAATCTGGCTTTACACAGGGCACCCTTGAGATGTGATGGAATGAGAGATTTGAATAATGGATATACATCTGAAAAATCTGTGCAACTGTGTAATGCTGTCATGTTAATATGAACCAAAATCTCTAAGGAATGTTTACAGTTCCTTTTTGATTCTATGTCACAAATACTGAAGGCAACAGGGCGTCCAACCCAGTACTAGTAGAGTGTAAGTAATGGAGTGGCTTGTGAGTGAATGTACTAGGCTTCGGGATGGATTTGTTCTTAAATTATTGACAGCTGGACTTATTATTTTTATTTCTTAAATATTGTTAAAAAAAAACAAACAAAACCTTTTTTGCGTATGTTTGGAGTATTTTCTGATTTGTAAAGTAATAAAAAAAGCACTGTAAAGTTTTAAAACCTTTGACTCTAATGTGGCAGCAAAATAAAACAAAGTTAAATGCCTTACCCAGTGTTTGGATTTCTACTTTAAAATGCAAATTGATGCATATTTAAAATAGATATTGCTTCAATTGCATATTTAAACAAAAAAGTTCATACAAATATTTAACTGGGCACCTGATGATTAGCTTTACCTCTAGTCCTTTTCTCAAATACCCTTTTTCAGAGAGGTGTTAGTATTCTTTGAGGGAAGAAGTGGGGAAGAAGTATAACATACATAAACGTATTCATATTCTTTTCTTCTATTCTATCACAGAAATATCTGTAAGCTCACTGAACCATAAGACGAAGTTACATATGCTATAAACACTAATCATACTGACTGATACCATGACAGATTGTTGGCTTTTAACAAGCTATTTTAATTTTACGAAATTATTTTC